CAATCATGTTAGTGACAAAAGAGAGGGCTCCATAACTTTTTAACTTATGAAAGTTTTTGATTTAATTTTTTTTTAAATGATCATCGTTATCAGACAATATGCAGAGCTTAACTATGGGTCACTTTACCAATGTAAAGTTCTGTGAATGAGTATTTTAGGTCGTTGGCTTCAAACCAATTGCCTCTCACTGCTGTAGGTTCGAGACATGCAAGCGTCGTCGGATTCTACATATGAGCCGTTTCATGACAAAACCAACATAATGGGTTTGCGACCAGCATGGATCCAGACCAGCCTGCGCATCCGCGCAGTCTGATCAGGATCCATGCTGTTCGCTTACCAACTCTATTACAAGTGGAGAAACTGATAGCGAACAGCATGGATCCTGATCAGACTGCGCGGATGCGCAGGCTGGTCTGGATCCATGCTGGTCGCAAACTCACTATGTTGGTTTTGTCATGACGCGGCTCAAATGTCATTATACTTGGTTCTGTGCTGTAGGATTTAAAGTTATGATATTGCAATGCCTTTATTTGAAACCGTCAGCAGTTCAACAACGCGATTTTAATCGCAAACATTTTAAATTTAATTATCAAACAAGGCAGTCAGAAGGGTATATCCCCTAACTCAGTACAATTTTAACCTGTAACCGACGTTTCAGCAAGACCTTGACCTAGGAAGAAGCAACCCGTTTGTTTTTAGCACTGCGCGACATCTCTTATTTGTGATCATTTGGCAAATGCTCAAATTGATTTTAAAATCATTTAAGTAGTTAAGGAGCAAAGAAAAAATGTGAACATTTTTACTTTACCTTTTAAGTGCACCTTTTTTGATGGGGGGGGGGGGGTAGTTTTTAGTACAGGTCATATGGCGATTTTCTAGCTTTATTTGTGTAGGAAGACCTCAGGTGTCCCTCTGTACATTATTTCAGGCACAAACAAGCACCTGAGTAGACCCACTGACGTTCCGTAAGCTATGTGGATAGCTTTTTCATATGAGCCGCGTCACGACAAAACCAACATAGTGCGTTTGCGACCAGCATGGATCCAGACCAGCCTGCGCATCCGCGCAGTCTGATCAGGATCCATGCTGTTCGCTTACCAAATCTATTACAAGTGGAGAAACTGATAGCGAACAGCATGGATCCTGATCAGACTACGCGGATGCGCAACCTGGTCTGGATCCATGCTGGTCGCAAACCCATTATGTTGGTTTTGTCGTGACGCGGCTCATTTTATTTCATTGAAGCACCCCTAAACTTGTTACACACAATTACATTCAGAAATGTGAATACATTGTACTATATCGAAATTATTTATGAAATTTGTTTAATTATATAGCAGTCATGTGGAAAATCGATGGCAAGAAACTTGTAATTAAATTGAGCATTTTAATATTGGTGCGTGATTGCTGTTGCTGGCAAAGGCAAGGAATAGATTTCTGATAAAGGAACTATTTTCCCACAGCATTTTAAATTTAATTACAACGTAATATTACAGATAGCTGATGCTTCCTGAAATAAAATAAATGTAGCACTCCTTTATTTTATGAACACGTTTAGTCATCCGAAAAATTAAAGAAAAATATAGTACTATTATTCTCTGAATGGCATCTTCTGGCTTCGCTTTCATTAATAAGATAATGATGAAGGAAAACGCATGCATGTATTTAAAGAGAAGATCTGTCATAGATGATAATTATGTCAATTTCATTATGCAAACGTCATTTGTAATTCTTACTGTAAAGGAGATAACCGGAGAAGTGAAGGTGTTTTACTTCCCAGCAGTCCTCGACCACAATGACGGGTGAATGCGGCGCCAAAGAACGAGATATGAATTGGCTGCGATGTCCCTTACGTTGTCTGATGTATGGGCATGTGGTTGGAATGTATCATCTGATTGCCTCTACAGGCATTTTACCTGAAATTTGCATGACTCGAATTTAGTTTTCTGGTTAAGCGTCAGAGTTACGAAATTCTGCTGGTGAATTGAAGAGCTACCGGTATGTACCTATTATAAAACAAAGACCACAGTGCACAGCTCCTTATTAGGCTTATATCAAATACTAAAGGGTAGTCTATGCCCTTTATAGAGGCACCCGTGATCGAGTTATGACATTTTATCCCTAATCACTATCAGCTTTCTATTCATGGTTCGAATCCTGTCACTGCCGTATATTTTTGACTTGCTTAGGATATCCCAGATCACCTGCCTGTGTCTTAAATATTGCTCTAAGAGACCTTAAACCACCAGTAGACTGGAAAACGAAACGTATGTAGATGTTTAGGATAAAAGTCAATATCGAGTATTTTTGTAACATGAACTTAAAATTATCTTTAATATACGGAATCCGTATGAATAGCTCGATTTCTTATGATGATATATATACACACATACAATATTAACCAAAAATACCGGTATTTTGATGTTTAAGCGATAATAAAATATCTCAAATTACTCTTTTATATCTAGAATCTTAAAACACAAAACGCGTATTATAATTTGATGCGTCGGTGGGACATTCTAAAGATTCGGATACAAATATTTGGTATAAGACGCGATGTTTATCACCCCTTTGCTTTGTCTTTATTTTTTTCCATTCAACTCTGTACGCTAACGGTGATAACGACTAACCTATGCCACCAATTCAGTTATATATATACATGTAGTGTCAAAGATCACTCGCAACTGTTCTGTTGTTTTCTTAAATTAAGCAGTTCAGTATATTCTTTGAAATCCTTCAGCTGACAATGGACAAATTCATTCACAAATTAAGGGTGATCAAGTTACAAGATTATCCCCTCATATTTTAGAATTTGTTTATCTAAAAGTACATTATCTACATGTTTAATTATGGTAATTAAACTATACATAATTTTACTGTGAAATGTTTAAACAATTTTAGATACAGAAAGAAATTAATAATTGACACATTTTGCTATGGCTGTAGATCGTCTCGCAGTATCTACGATATACTACATTTTATATTGGTGGGAAGTAATTTGACAAGGAAACCAAGTGTAAATTTTGTTTAAACCTTCAAAAAATGTGTGTTTTATATAAATTGAGATGTTACAACAAACGGTAAACATTCATTTTGTAAATCTATACTTTAAATAAACATAACGCTAAGTCATACTCAGGACATTTAAAACAAACACATACGGCGTGGAAATAAACGTGCATTTATTAGCGCTTAATTATCAGTTTGTTTCGAGAAATATTTGGCGCAAAAATACCGCTAAATAGCCTCGGAAAATAAAAGAAATCAGAGGAAGTTTTAAATATTAAACGTGTTCCTCTTAACTTATTGATAATATGGATATGACGGATAAACAAAGTAAAAAGATGTTTCAAAGAAGTGCTACAACAGATGCAGTTAATATAGAGGATACGCAAGACAATACAAACCACGAGGATAACGGTCAAAAAAGAATTAGAAAATCGGTATCCATGGACACTGGTCAAGCACAGATTATCAAGAAGACACTTTCTGGATCCATACGTCGGGTAAGAAATATGATGACATCACCAAATCAGTTTGTTGCATTTTCTTTCTCATATCTTTATGATATTTTATTACTGATCGTAAAAGTAGCTACAAGTTTATAAAGTCAAGGCCTGTTGGCCATTTTCAGTCAACATTGACTGCACACGCCATTAATAGAGCTTGAAAATATACAATACTAAAATATAAGTACACACTCAGATAGTATATTGTACATGTGATTTTATGCGTGAATCTAGTTTTTAAAAATACTGTCAATATTAAGGAGAATATACTTTGATATATTTTCTTCTTTACCCCAGTTTGATATTGTACTGAACCCTTGCATTGGTTACATTTCTATACCACCTAACTACAAGAAAAGCATTGATGCAAAGCATCAAAGGGCGTCCAAGCAACAAATGCAGAAAGTGAAGATGAATAAAATTATGCTTAATCTTTCAATATATAATATTGATGTACATGTACATTTGTATTTTCTTTATCAATTTTTAAAATTATCAATCAATTGAATAATTCATAAAATCTAATTTGTAACTTTGAATAATTCCTGGGCATCTTTACTAAACACGAATAACAAAATAAATAAAATGTTTCAAAGTTGAAAGTGTCATATTTATACCATAAAAATGTACCTTTTTCTCAATTATTGTACATACTTGTTTTTATCTCATATAGATAAAATGAAACATGCTATTGTTGTTGTTGTTGGGTTTTTTTTTCGAACTGTATGTTTATGTATAATAATAATCAATAAATTTGAGAGTTGATCTATGTTTATTAATTATTGTAACCAAACTAAGTGACAAACATTCATTTTGGAAAAAAGCTTATTTATCTGTAAAATATCTGTTCTGTTCTGTAACGATATCAAACATCTACTCCAAAACCGGGAGAGACCGGACAATAAACGTGTGATACTATTCGCCGGTCACTAGTAAATCCCGGTCAAAATAGACCGGGAGAGACCGGGAATTACCGATAGCAGTACATCCCTCTATAAATAGATTTTCGGAATGTTTAGGTCATCAACTCATCATTCTATTTTAACATACCATAATAACCCACTGTGTACTACAAAATGATAAATAAAAAAAACCCGAAGAGACGGAAAAGGTTATTTTATGCATTGCGAAATTCTCCAGTTCGCTATTCATTGTACATATCGAGACATTTTTTTTAATCAAGCACCCTCATACCGATCGGAATGATCGGCTTTTATTATGACCGACTATAAGGCTCGAGAAGTTGCTGTCGCCCTTTCACAAAATCTGATTTCATTCCATAAGGGCGCCGCGCTTCGGCGCGGACGCCAATAAATGATTTATACATGTTCACAGGCTGTACAAGTATTATTAATAATTAAGAATGTAACATAGCAGACAGACAAAGACAAAAATCAATGCTTTTAATCATTTTATGTCAGTACTAGCACTAAACGTCAACGCGAGCGTGACTTTGATCAGGTAAATTACATATCGAACAAACGCAATCCGATTATGGAATCTTTTCTGGATATTCCCATATTTTTATGCACTAAAAATACACCCTCTTTTTTATTTGATATTGTTCAATTCAATTCTTTATTCAAAAAGAAATATGTTCATGTGAATATAATCTATTAACAAAACAAAAAGAACTCGCCATATATATTTAACAAACTTTTTTCATTTTCCAGAAAAGAATCAGTAAACGCCGACCGGAACCGGAATACGGGCGAGATACCGAAACATACGAGAAAATTCGAGAACGAGTTCTGCAGGAACGGGCAGTGACGAACGCTATAGATGCTTTACATGAACGCTGGAGGATAGTTTTGAACTCGTATGTGAAATGTGTAGCAATGAATGACAAAAGAAAAGACTTGAAGTTAAGGAAACTTTCTGTGAAGAGACAATTTGAACTAATTGTTATAAAAAATTGATTTTTTTTGATAAAATTTTCAAAAATGATATTCCCCTTTATTTTTGGTTTTTCTATTTAAAAACGTAAATTTTTTACAATGTAAAAAATTTGGGTTTTTAAATTTGGGAAAAAATTATTATATTGGGGAATAAAACCATTGGGAAAAGTATTTTTTTGTCCCTTGGGGGATTTTCATTAAAAGGATTTTGTGGGTTTTAAGCCCTTATATAATGCTGTTTGGGGAAACCCTATATTAACTGAAAAAAGTGTTTCAAACCCCCTGATTAAATCCACCCCCAAACAACTTGGGTCTTTGGGTATTTCCCCCTTTTTTAAAATGGAAATGGGGTTAAAATGTTGTTTTTTTCCTTTTTAAACCCCCAATTTTTTTAAAAAATTGAATTTTTCAAAATTTGACAGCAATTTCCCTCAAAACGATTTTTTTTTCCCCAAAGCAAATCAAATATATGTGGTATTTCGTGGCGATGGGTATGCGATAGAGGTGAATATCTTCCATTGTTGAACTGGCTTCGTAAAAGACATAAACATTTTTGTTCATCATCATCATCATCTCAAGTAATTGCATCACTCCGCAAGGAGTATACTCGCAATCGGATAAAAACTGTATATACATACGCATCTGTACGCATTAAAAGAGTAAAAACAACTCCGTGATTAGTATTTTATATGTTGGCTGGCCAGAGCTGATTGGAAAGCATCCAGGCTGGTCTGGTCAACAACGTCTTGCGGCAGCTTGTTCCAAAGCACGATTGTTGCAGGAAAGAAACTATTTTGGAAGATGGAGGTGCGTGCTCTGATTTGGCGGAAGCGTTGGTTGTGCCCTCTGACAGTCTTAGCATTGATAAGTGGAGGATCTGGTATAATATCCACAAGGTTGTGCATTATCTTGGAGAACATAGTTGTTCTGATGTTGTTGCGCCGGTGTTGGAGGGTGTCCCATTTGAGGTCGGTAAATAAAGCATGTCGGTGACTCTGCTTGTTCGCGTGTAGTCTTGTTTCACGAATCTTGCAGCGCGACGTTGGCCCATTTCTAGTTGGTTGATGAGACCCTCAGAGTGAGGGGACAGACAGACAGATGAGGCGTATTCAACAGTAGGTCTGATATATGTCTTGAAGGCATTAGACTTGGCGCTTGGAGGGCTAGATCGTATGTTTCGCCTGATGAATGACATGGTGGAGTTAGCCTTTTTGGTGATGTTATCGATATGTTTTTTCCATGAGAGGTCTGAAGAGATGGTGACTCCAAGATATTTGGCATGATCTGCAGTGTTGAGTTCTTTTCCGTGGATGCTATGTGTTAGTAATAGGTTTTCTTTTTGTGGAGATGTGGATGACTTCACATTTGTCGGGATTAAAAGCCATCTGCCAATCATCCTCCCAGGATTGGAGACTATCAAGGTCATGTTGAAGTTGGCGTGAGTCCTCAGGGCTATGGATGATTCTATACAAGAGGCAATCATCGGCGAAGAGTCGAGCCGTGGATTGGACTTTCGATGGTAAATGATTGATGTAGGCCAAGAAAATCAGAGGGCCAATGACGCTGCCCTGAGGGACATCAGAGGTGACAGGTGAGGTAGCTGAAAAGGAGCCCTCAAGGACAACCTGTTGTGTGCGCGACGAGAGAAAGTCTTCAATCCAGGAGTGGGTTGTGCCTCTTATTCCATAATGGTCATGTTACATGTTTATAATACTGCTATGTGTCTTACTGAAACGTGTACACTCAAAAACATTTCGAGATTTATTAGATCCAATTATAGTCACCAGATAATTATTTATTTTCTTTTTATTTTCGTAAGTACGTCCATTTTTATCATTGCTACATAGTTATATATAATTATACCTGTACAAATCCCTTTTAAATAAATGAACTTGAATTTGTAATAATATGCAAGAGTAGACCTTCGGTACCCGATTTTTTTTCATCATCACAGAAAACATTAGGGACCACCCTCATTTCACATAAAGCATGGCATATCCTCGTGTTTTCCGGTTAAACCCATTTAGTGTTATAAATATTTTACAAAACACATGTACATGTATATCCTATCAATTTCCTCTTTTCAGCATCTCATTTTGCTATATCTTTAACACAATTTTGTCATATGTCCATTTGTAAGTAATCTCACTCACTCAAGGAAAACAATCAAATAAAGCATTTACAATACAAGTTAGTATAAGAGTGTATTTCAATATTTTATTTAAAAAAAGAACTTTTCAACAAAGCAAAAAGGAAGAACTTTTTCTTTTTTTCTTTCCCTGCTATAATGTAAAAATCTATTTACAAATTGGGAAGGCGCTCGACAGAATGTTTCCCGATTTGGGGATAGTTACACAAATTTATAAAATCTAACACTGGGTTGGGTATCTTCACAATCATAGATTAGAATAATAAGCAAGAATAACTTGTTCAATAATACAAAAAAATGTACACATGAGTTACTCGGATGATGTACAAAGAAAGCATGTACACCAAGCTATGTGAAGTTCGCTCAATTTTTTTAACACCTTTTACTATTTCACAACCATTTTCCTGAAGGTCATATTAATACGAACTTGGGTCAATTTCTTTCTCTGTGGCAGGGAATGATACCAGTAAGTGTTTGTTGGATGTTTCATCACCAATAAACTGCCGTGTTCTAGCTCAATCTTCACGGGATCTATTTTGCACGTTGCATTCTTTCCCCGTGCACTTGCATGCTTGAAGATAAAGTCTCTGGGCTGCCCAAGCGAAAGTGAGGCTATTGGATGGCCATTCACTAAGTCTTTCTCGTCATCTCGGTGTTCACCTATGTAGTCGTGTCCATCTTTATACCTAGAACATTTTATCACAAATAAAAGTCTACTACTGAAGAAAGTATTATAAGTCATTTAGAGAATACCAGTGTGTGTTATATATCTTTTACATTCTAATTTTCAGCTGCAGAATATTTACAAATTTATTACAGGCCTGTCTACCTGTAAATAAATGGATTAAGGTTTGACCAGATTACTCAGAAGCAATGGCTGCCACTTTATGTGATAGAACAACGGGTAGAAACAAATAAAAACAACAACTTATTCCTTACCAGGAGTCAAAACAATTTTTAAGTGATCCTATTCACACCAAGAGCGCTATATGCCGCCATGAGTAAAAAAGCAACAAAAAGCCTGATCCCTTACCAGCCATAAGTCAAAACAATCGAATAAGCAAACTGATTCATTACCTATTGATAAGAACAAAGTTGAAGTCAAAACCGGTGGCATCAGAAATTATGTCTCTTATGTTTTCCAAGAAAGGTGTCCAAGGCCTTGCTGGCACAGAGGTTCCAGAAAAGTTGTAGGATAACCCCGCGTCACCATGGGCTACCTTTTAAAAGAACAAAATACACAGTAAGAATTTATAAATGATAAATTCGTTCCAATTAATGAGCTACTGAGAAGTTAAATGTTTTTTTTCAATGAATCTAAGACGTGTTTAATATAATGCAGCGTGTTGTATATAATGCAGCGTGTTTAATATAATGCAGCGTGTTGTATATTATGCAGCGTGTTGTATATAATGCAGCGTGTTGTATATAATGCAGCGTGTTGTATATAATGCAGTGTGTTGTATATTATGCAGCGTGTTGTATATAATGCAGCGCTCCAGATTATTGTTCATTGCCCTGAATTTTTTTAAAAACTGGTAAAGGGATAAACATCTCACAGTTTAAGTGCACAAATAGTGATTTACATGTGCACTTGCTTCAGGCATGTAATATCCATATATAACTACATACATGTAAAAGTAGATTAAGACATGTGTTTTATGAAATATGCAAAATCTCACTTGGACTGTAAATATTATAGATCTACCTATTTTCTTAAATAATCATTTTTCGTTAGTTTTTTTTCTTTCTAATTTGTGGGTCATGCAATTTCAAATTTTCATGTACTTCAGTTGTATTCATAATTGAATATCCCCAACTGATGTGCAGGAATATTTTATAGAAGTTACCTTTCACCTGTACCTAAAATACAGAAAACATATAAAAAAATTATGATAGGCCTAATTTTAAATGTACATGCATATTACTTTGATAGTCTATATTGACACTTTTAGTACCTGTTTCCGAGGAATGTTGATCCATTTCCCATATAATTTAATTTGTGCAAGTTTTCCATCGTTGTAAGTGAGTAATTTTTCACATTCTTCAAAAATGTCGTCTGCTTGTGTTTTATTGAATAACATACAGTAGTCACAGACCAAATTTTCAGCGCGCAATTCTTTCCATGATAGCGATTTCGCGCCATTTTTACTTATAGCACAATCAGCGTCTGTTTTCGAGTTGTCTCCCTTATCCGAGTTTATCTGCTTATCCGAATCCACACTTTCAGTTTTACACTTCTTTTTTATATTTAATTCCTCAGTATCAACACGTCTTTTCTTCGTTTCTAGTTCGTCCATTATCCAAATTAAAATGTTCAATTAGTTTTAAACTGCTATAATAAACATATTTAAATAACTGCAGCAGTTTTGCTATTTTCAGTATTGCACAACAATCAATAAACATGTTTGAATATAAGGGGAGTAATCGATGTATCAAATAAAACATGTAAAAATATGTTTCCCCCCTTGTCATTAGCTTCAAATGGTAAAATAAAGTTTGCGTTAGAAATGTAAGAAATTCGTGGTCATTTAAATAGTTTTATTGCTAAATATAAAGTTTTAAGAAATATTATTACAGATTGTCGTTAAGGGAATCTTTTAAAGCGTCTTGTGGTAAAAATAAAATGTTGTTTGTTGGTTGCTAGTTAAATTTTTTTTAAAGTTAAGAAAGGAGACTCAATATACTTTTTGAACGTCATGTTATACTATATTAATAAATCATATTTAATATTTCTAATGTTTCTTTGTACGTTGAATTGATGAATAAAATGATTAAGTAATATGTACAAATGTTTTTCTTATTGCTATCATGCATGGATAAATTTGTATCACATTATTTGATATTGATTATTTTAAGATAACCTACATATTGCAAACGACATAGTCACATACTATGACATTTAAACAACTTATGTATTTATCATCATCATCATCATCATCTCCGTTGTCATCATCACTTTAAACATCATCATCATCATCATCATCATCATCATCATCATCATCATCATCAACAACAACAACAACAACAACAACAACAACATCATCATCATTATCATCATCTTCTTCTTCTTCATCTTCATCATCATCATCATTATCTTCATCATCATCATCTTCTTCAACATCATCATCATTATCATCATTATTATCATCATTATTATCATCATCTTCTTCTTCTTCTTCATCATCATCATCATCATCAGCAGCAGCAGCAGCAGCAGCAGCATCACCATCATCATCATCTTATTGGTAACATAGATGAAATGACTGGATAAACATGCTGATATATATATTTACATATTTTTTTACTGTAACTCCAGTTTCAACTTTTTTAAACAGTTGTATTCGTCCATCAAACTTATATGTACATGCCATTGAATGATATCTTAAGTTTACCACCTGATCGCCAGCTGTACTGTAATAGATTATGTACATGCATTTATGTTTATTAATCAATTTTAAAAACAAAAACATACAGTACGTGAATTGTTTAGTAATATATACTTGATAACGCAGCCTTTGTTTAAAAAAAAGAAATATATACAGCGTAGACATTTAATTTGATATCACATTTTGTCAATATTAATCTAGTTTTAATACTCGGGAGTGTTTAAACCTAAACTTAAATAATGGATGCGGTGTTTAATTTAATGTAGATCTGTACAATTAATGTGTTTCTTGAATCGATATTTTTTCACAATGTCACGCTAAATGTTTAATTGAATTTCAAGTTTGTTAACAATAGAAATTTTGTAACTGTAACGATGTTCTACAATTGTATCCAAATTTACAAGCATGTTCGCCATGTTCATATAATGTTTTAGTTGTATGTAACATCTTGTATTGAGGACTTACAAGGATGACGCTAACGTCACATTTAGTTACACGAGAGCTGTATAGTTTCCTTCAGGAATATAGGAGAATACCATAGTGATTACTGGAGGAACTAATTCAGACTTTTATTGTATGATCGAACAATTAAATTAAGAAAGTTTCGGTTGATTCCATGGGGCATAAGGCACAGATTTATTAAAACACTGTTCAATATTATGACAACTTGTTTTAAAAGAAAAGTAAGCGGTTTGGAAGTATAAACAAGGTATAAAGTATGAGTGAAAAGGATGTGAAACAAGTTCTACACAGAAGTAGAACATCAGATTCTATTGTTGTAGACAATGGAATTAAGCCTCCAAACACTAACCAGAAGCAGCAAATAAGAATGAGAAAGTCGACCTCGTTAGATTCCGGAGAAAAGGACGAGGTAAAGAACTCGACATCCGACCCGACTGGACCATTTCAACGTCGTACATTCACTGTAGTGCGGGTAGGTGTTTTCATTTTAATTTGTAGCTAGGTAATATCTATTTCAAGGCACACTAAAATATATTTTTCCCTATGTTTTTTTTTTATTTTATTTGAAATGTTAATTTTGATGAAAACAGACTGCGTAGGAGAGTTGTGTTAATAAAATAATATAATTTTATTTTTCAGAGAAGAACAAGTAAACGCAAAAGTAAACCGGAACCGGAATTTGGACATGATACCGAAGCGTACGAGAAAATTCGAGAACGAGTTTTACAAGAACGCGCAGTGACGAACGCTATAGACGCCCTACAGGAACGCTGGAGAATGATCATGTTGATGTATGGCGACTGTGTTGATCTGAATAATAAAAGAATGGAACGGAAACTAAGAAAACTCTGTGTACGAAGACAATTTGAAATGATCGTTATTGCAGCCATATTTTTGCTTATATGTTTACCGATATTAATTGTTTTTATTTTTGTTACTTTTTATATGTAGAATCTAGAACGATTCTTCGAGTAGGTTACACATGGTCAAGTAGATCTATTGAATTTTCACTGGAACAATTAAACTTCATATCAACATACGATGTAATTCATAATGTGAGATATTTATTGCATTTTACAAACACAAAATATCTTGACATGATATTGTTTCTTGTTTACATTCTTCAAATTGTATAAAAGCCATTTACTGCTGAATTAAAAAACAAGTAAGACATCGTGTCTAAAATTTATCATTTATGACATATGTTTTTATTCCACGTTATTTAAAATGGCAATGATCCAACAAGCAAGGGCATCAAATTGTTTTAGGCACGCATCAGACATATGTCAACAAGTAAGGAAACCTGCCGCAGGACATCGAATCAAGTCTTCTTTGAATTAATAGACTCTACATTTTTATAATCATCTTCATAATATGGTGCTTTAAAACTTGTGTGTATGCCTTTTTTTGTTAATCAGAAACTTCGCTTTGTTACTATAGTTACATTGATTTTGATTTTTGTTTGACCAGTTAAACGGCAGGAAAATTATAAATTGAAGGGTTAATTATGATCACAAATAATGTTGGTGGTTTCATGACAATTAATTAAGCAAGTAATTTCTTTTTGCCGGAAAACGATTACGTTATTTCTTTATGAATTATTCCACAGGGGCTATTTTTCAAGATTTCTTTCTGCCAATCATAAGGCAAAATAATTGAGTGTAAAATGATAGTTTTGTCGGAATTATTTTATTGACTGAGAGATGATTTCAAGATAGCACGAAGTAGCTATTTATAACTGTTGTCCTATTGTTTCTAAATGATTGATGTAACTGAGAAGGGAGACAAGTATTCTTTTAAAAGAAATTTTAGAAAACATGAAAAATGGCTTGATATTGTCCGAAATAATTGTCATAAACACAATATTGTTAAGGGGAGAACCGTTACATTTATCTGTAATATGTTTGTAATTGAACATGAGTTATCTACATCTCTGGTCTAACTCTACATTGAATGGAACATTATTTCCATTTCCAATCCCGTAATGACAAAGCCTTAGCTGGGTCCCTTTAATACTAAAAACCACTGCAATATGATTCATTCATGTGACCAGAGTATGACAATAATTTTATACGGGATAGTAGAAATAACACGCGTGTCAAGTTCTCGCCACTCTTGATTAATTACTAACATATTTCAGATTAATGTAAAGATTCTTCCCTTGACCATAGTGTGTGCATGATACAAAAGTAGCTATTGGTTCTGATTCATGAGATATTTTTATGACCTGAAAATAATATGATTAGAGGCAATCGGATCACATCAGGTTATTTTATCGTTAAGCAATCCCAAATGTCAACGAATGTGTTTGACCACTACCATTAGCCAGAAAATGAAATAAACAATAAATTGTACCTTTCTGTTGAAAATATGACATAGTTAAATCGTACACATATACATGCCCAGTGCGTTAACTGGAGTGCAGGTATTAGTTACCCACACTCCAGAGCATGTCCATTGATTGGTTCATTTTGTCCGGGGTTTAAATATTGTGACGACAGAGAAAGGGATAGCGATGGAAATATCATATTCAGATGCTCGTTCATTGGTTACTTTTTTGTGGGGTTTCATATTGTGGTATGAGGGAACGTGTTTTCATGTTTGACTATGATACAAAAGAGAAAAAACATCAAAACACTCGGCAATCTGATTAATACTCGGGGCTACACCCCCTCGTTCAAATCAGATAGCCTCGTGTTTCAATGTTCTTTCTATTACTTAGACTGTATGACAGGAAATGTTTAACATATTATTCTTGACGTAACTTTTACGCCAATCCATCTAATTTGTAATGTTTTACGTTTATGTTTTTCGTTTGTTATTTCAGCTGACCATTAACTAAATGGTATAAGTTATACTTATCAGAAAAGGTCCAAATAAGCTTCAATCACAATTAAGCGAAATATAAAAAGATAAAAAAAAAGAAGACAAAAATAGAAAAAAACACACTTATATTGCGCAACACTCAATATTGTAGGGATGGGAGTATTCCGTTATTTTTTTTAACCGCTCATGGTGTAAATCCCAGTGAATTTTTAAAACAATGACATAGAATGAGGGATCAGAGTTCTGTGTATGTTTTTTTTTTGTTCTATAAACAATGTAGAAAATAGTTGGATAGGATGCTATTAAACGTAAGAAATCAGTAACTGGAAAACTCCATAATGATTCATTAATGATTCATTAATGATTCTGTTTATATTTAACAACACTTATAATTAATAAACTTCATAAAACACTAGAAAATCTTAGAAGAGTTAGGATGTCATTAAAGTGTTTCGGTATCTATTGCGACGTATACTAGTCTACCATTATATCAAACAAAATGAGCCGCGTCACGACAAAACCAACATAATGGGTTTGCGACCAGCATGGATCCAGACCAGCCTGCGCATCCGCGCAGTCTGATCAGGATCCATACTGTTCGCTTACCAACTCTATTACAGTAGAGAAACTGATAGCAAAATCCTGATCACCTCAAATATGTGTGGGATTATTTTCTCAAAGAATGTCGATATTATTTGTTTCATGTACCAATCAATTTTGCACCACCTCCAACCAAGGGATTATCGGGGTCAATGACTTATCACTCTTTTACCAGCTTTTTTTAGATTATCAAACCCACAGGTAAAGCCCTGTTTTCTGTTGGTAAAATCCCCGATTAAGACACACATTGTCACTTAGTTTCTACTGGGTTTCTGGAATTCCTACATATTTATTTCCAAGACTAACGCCAACGTTCAATTACTTTATATTGTGGCTGTATGACGATTAAACAACTATTCGGGAAAATTTGCAGAAACACGCAGTAATGTTCTTAGAAATGCCTGACCTATGTAATGAATGGAACTATTGATAGTTTTAATGTTCATTGTTTTAGAATCGATTAGCATAAATTTAGTACAATTATTGCTTTCTTAAATTTAAGGTTCTTTTTCTGGTGCCGCATGCACTTATATTTTATTATCATTATCTTTATAAATTTTAGCAATATGCATGCAATTGCAAATTTATTTCAGAATTCCATTTCTTCTTCTTCTTTTTTTTTAAGAAAAAGACTTCTAAAAGTAATAAGATGTACATGACTAGTTGAATTAGATAATGCTTTTCTTTTGGAATATAGTAGTTGGTGCACATATTTTGACACAATTGAACATGTCTAAAGAATCATTTTTGCATGTATTAATTCTTATTAACCTGCACCGAAAACTATGTTTGTTTTTATCAATTTGTCTCTACAAATTGTCTTTAACAATACTTTTACGAAGATGTTAAAGTATCGAATTTCCCAATGTTAAAAGGTGAATTTTTTTTAAATAATTTGAAAATAAAAACGTGTATAAAATTGTCCAACTTACTTTTGATAAAGTTTTGTAATGAGCAGTCGATTATTTTTTACTTTTATTTGTTTTTTTCTATTTCTGTTTCATTTTCAACACACGTACGGAATAAAATGAATCTCTTTCACTTGATAATTATGTTTGGTTTAATAGTAATAGAATAAGAATACATAGAAAAAGCGGGGCAACGCTAGTCGTTTTTTTTATAAATAAGAATAAGTAAAGTAACTTACAATTAGATGCAGTTGACGGTGACATTTTATGAATAACATCAAGTGATAAAAAGGATAATGTCTTACCCTTCCCACCTCCCCGTAGTGCATTCCCCATCAGAATGGTTGATACAAATGTGTCTATGATATGTTTTTTAGTAACATTTTAATTATCAAAATAAATAAACGATAATTATTTTCGGAAATTTTAAAAGCAAGCTTTTGTTGTGATGAACCTGGTTGCAATGCGGGTGCTGATTATGTATCAGGCCGAGGTACTGTAGAATTTACAATGGTACATGTGTATCAATCATGTTAGTAACAAAAGAGAGGGTTCATTCGAAAACAGTATTTCAATTTATAGTGGTTATGCAGATCAAAGTTGGGTAGAAAGTGTGTCAAAACAGATAATAAAATGATGTGTGACTACAGAAATAATGTATATGTGAGTTGAAGTCTACCTGTCTATCATTCTTATTGTTCACATAAAACAAATATTTTTAAAGTTTTAATATTCATTAATCAGAAGCAAAAATATTTAGTGGTGATATTTAGTATTTTGTGAAACAAAAATAACTCTAATAAATTGAACTAATTTAAAGTTTTATTCATAATTCAACCAACTACCAGGCATTATATTCGTAATACACTTCTTCATGAATATCTTTCATACGTGCGACTATAAAAATACTCTGGAGATGTATACAAGCAGATTGGTAATGTTACATTGGCATATTTATTTTGAAGACTTGACAAATATCGGTTTATACAACGAACGAAACAACGATGGATCATCAGTGCAATTTCAGTCAAAAGAAAATGTTATTATCAATTTGTACGCGTATATCTACATATAACATTTTCGTGTTAGTTTACAGGTTTTAAAACAATGATTAATAAATGAATAAATTCTAAATCATTGGTGCTGTACGGATATTGGAATATGTTGCTTTAAAGTACATGTGATAGAATAGTAATATTTTGAATAATTATAAGCATTAAGCTATGACTTTTCCATGTGCATAAGTGTGGAGTGTATTTACTATCAAGTCAGCACGAACAGAAGAAAATAAGCCAACAGATGAGCTCTATTTCTTATTCTTAGTGTAAAGGTAAAAGTGGCTGATATGCGGAAGTTTACATCGTATATTGAAGAGTTACTATACAAATTCAGAATATAAGAGTGCATTTACAAATTGAAATTAAAAGGATATAAAATTTAGAAATATTATTTGATTTTGATAAAATTTCAATTACAATATCGTACACAATATGTTATACTCAACAACATGGGTAAAAGAAAAAGTGGCTCGGGTGTAAATATGTGAGAAATGGAAAAAAACTAGTAATTTCTTAAAAGGTGCTTTTTGAAAATGGCTGACAAAGAAGTAAGCTCTGCTATTCGAAAAAGTGCAAGTACTGATTACGTTATTATTGAAGGGCCAAAAGTACCACATTCTGATGTTATAACACAAATAGCACAGTCGGCAAAATTGAAAAAGTCAGTGCTTTTGGACATTGGAGAAAATGAATGTCTAAAAAAGCCTTCCTTTGCAAGTTCTGGATCTTTTAAACGCAGGTCAATTCGGGTAAGATATTATTCCATATTTGAATAAATAAGAAAAAGTAACAGGTGCCAGATTTGATACGCAAATTTAACTTCGATGTCTTTACATGACAAATATTTAAAAATTCCGTATGTCTGAAATATTCACTCGTACCCTGAAATGCATGGTTATGTAAAATGGTTATATTAAACAGGCGAGCACTAGTCAATGGAACAAAGACAATGCTGGTTTTGGCATTTTGTCTACGAGCAGTAGGCTCATTATCGGAACAAATATTTACTGCAGTACGGTTCTTGTGACTGGTTAATCCTTATATCAAACATGATATGAGCCGTGTTACGACAAAACCAACATAGAGCGTCTGCGACCAGCATGGATCCAGACCAGCCTGCGCATCCGCGCAGTCGGATCAGGATCAATGCTGTTCGCTTATAAACCCTATTTCAAGTAGAGAAACGGATAGCGAACAGCATGGATCCTGATCAGACTGCGCGGATGCGCAGGCTGGTCTGGATCCATGCTGATCGCAAACCCATTACGTTGGTTTTGTCGTGACGCGGCTCATATGTCCATATAAAAAGATAACTCAATATTGTGCTGGTGTTATTTTGGTTGCAATCCTACGCGTCAATATTGAAAATGACAATATATTATGTAGTAAAATCGAATAATTCTTTTAGATGTTTTCACTTGGAACGAATCATTTAGTAGTTAATGTAGATACATTCAACATTTTTGCGATGTTTAAACATCACAATCTATAATTAAAAATTAAAACATCAAGTAAAGTTACATTTATTTTTATATTTGGTGTTCATGTATAAAAAAAAGTATGAAAACCGATTTTTATAACAAACTGGTTTTGTTTGCTTTCGTAGGTCAAAGGCGTATTTGTTGATACGATATCGCAACTTTTCATTTGGTTAAAGGACTTTCATCTAATTTAAATTGTTCATGATAAAGTGAAACGCTATTAATCTAAAATTCCAAATTGGCTTTAAAATATCTATTTAAACGAGCCATTGGACATTTGATAGGTACATAAAATAATCTAATTTTGTTAGATCATACCTCATGTTATTAAATTTTAAACATGCATTTTTCTATAAGAAATATACCTTACTTTTCAGAGACGTTCCAGCAAACGTCCTAGTAGGCCAGAACCAGAATTTGGGCACGATACCGATGCGTACGAGAAGATTCGAGAGAGAGTTTTACAAGAACGCGCAGTGACGAACGCTATAGACGCTTTACAGGAACGCTGGAGAATGATCATGTTTATGTATGAGGATTGTGTTGATCTCAACAAGCAAAGAGCAGAATGTAAATTAAAGAAACTATGCATAAAACGACAGTTTGAACTTATAATGATAGTACTGACATTTAATTTAGTATGTATATTCACATATATGGTCTTTATCTGTATAAAAAGATAACAAAAGTAATTCCAATGGTTTCTTACGTGTGCGATAACAACACAGTTATCCACTACTTGATTTGTCACCGTTCATTTGATTACACAGTGTAATTTACAAATTTCTTAGTTTTTGGTAAAGGTAACGATTGAGATGTTGTTTCATGAGACAAAGAATCGAGGTGTAAAATTTAATTGATCATTCGTACCAAAAATTTGTAATATCTTTTAATTCAATCTAACTTGTTATTTCCACGAACGACGGAAAAACAACGCATTACTAAACAGCCATTTACCCAGGCTTAATTATGTGTGTATATTCATTTGAACTTCTTGCCATTAGCGTCACATATTTTATTGATGTAAAGGTTCACATTATTTGAGTATTTTCGATTACTGTTAAATACATTTTATAATTACATAGGCCATAACTAAATACATTGATATTGTTTTTGTAGACGTTTTTTTAATTTTTAACTTTAAGGGAAGTTCGCCTTTGTCAGTCACATGAAAATAAATACATTTAAATTTTGACGAATGACAATAATCATATTTTAACCAGAAATAAAATAAATTTCATATACTTGGGTGTGGCCAAGATAAGTTCATATTGATTTCAATTTTTTTCAATAACACATTGGCGTTTGAATTTTTCCTCAAAATAAATGGATATCTTAAGGTTGATGTGCCAACAAGACATCTGAACGTTATTCAATTTTCTCCTAAAGACATAAAATATAATTTCATAAAAGGTTTCGGTCATTGGAATATTGTAAAACTGTTATTTTTTATAAAATATTATAAACATCAACAGCTCATTTGCAACATGAATGGCATCAGAACGGTATTAAAGTTCACAAATCTATCACTTCTTAGTTTACACAGGTTGTGACTTTTGATTTTAAACACACAAACATGATGTTTAAAATCGTTACAAAGTTGTCTTTGCAGAATTGCAAAATTATAGGCCAATTACATAGCTGGATTTATTTAGCATTACTGTTAATTGTCTTGTTTATCATATAAAGTTAATTTGGCATTCATCAGATACGTTTGTTAAACTTTCGTATAGAAAGACACGCACTCATTTAATTCCTTTATTACCGAGCAATTTCTATGCTAATTGTCCATAGCTATCATTTTGTAGCGATTTATACTCCGTCTTTTTGGGTGAATAGACTGTAAAGAATGTTACTGAATACGTATATCAGAACACATTGAAAGAATAATGTGTTATATAATTTGTTTTGTAATATTTATATATTTTGGTTTAAAAGTGATAGTTTACTTTAATTTACTTAATAATAGTCATTGCCTATTTGTTGCCAAAAAGTGTAAACAATATTAACGTTACTACACATTTTGAAATCAAATCAATAATTGTGGATTCATTATCACTTTAAACTAATTAATCAAAGGGGTCATACAAATATAAATGACCGTTATAAATGTAGATATAAATGTATATATTTTTATCAAATTATAAAATTTCATGATTTCCATCAATGTTAAATATAGGTAAGATTGTTTCGAGAATTTTATAAAAAAAATATCTATCGCCTTAAGCATCTTTGAATGTCGACCTCAATGTCAATACACTTCTATTTGCTACAATCTTCTTATTTTTGTGTCACGTAATATCTCCTCTTAGACATGATCAATCGCTAATTATTTTTACCATATAAGATAAACGAATTGTGCCAAGATGGTCAGAAAAAATTCTTTTTCGATTGATATTTCACAACAGAAATATAGGTTTTTTTCCCCAAATCATTTGACGCGTATATCATGATTTTTTACATAAAACCTTAATGGCATGTTTTTTCCGTGAAAATGCTTAACTGACAAATAAAGATTTTTAGATATATTTACACAATTAATGACGTTCACTAATTGATGCAATTGTCTTATAGTCGGAACATCTTTATTCTGTCCTTCATCCAGAACGCCATGGCATAATTTACTCATTCTTTTTGACATTTGTCATTGCTACCACAGGCAATAAACAGATTTATTCCTCCAATTCGATATAATAATCATGTTATAGTGTCAAATATTATTTCACACCGTCACAATCAATAACAACTTCTCTTGTCTTACCATCTTGTGTCAAAAAGAGATTTATCATATTTTGCGGCTTGTTCAGCCATTAAAGCAATTATATGAATAGAAAACATGGAACTTGATATGTATGTGTGTCAATCAATCCACTTGTGATCTGAGTTGTCCGTGTTTAAAGTTACACAATAATAGCAGCCGTACTGCAACGAAAAGCTTAACAGACAAGACAATAGTAGTATTGCTTTGGCATTTCGGTATCTTGATTTTTTCACTTCATTAAATGAGATATTTCTACTTAATTTATTTTACGTTTGAAATTATCAGTTTTTCTGTGATAGCATGAAATGTTTCATTTTTTTATCAATTGACATAAAATCACAAGCAAACAGCATGGAACATGGAATGTCTGGTCCAAAAACATAAACCTTAAGTCTGCAAGCGACAACTGTATACACGCTTGCGTCCGCAGCAGACCAAGATGAACCTGCACATTTGTGCCGTCTTATTATCATCTTCCCTGTTCGCTATTTAGTCAATATTTGTTTTGAAATTGTCCTTTAAAATGACGAATGATTTTGTCAATATTGAAATACGGGCAAGTCCCTTTTGAATATTGAAAGCATGCTAAGAATTAATTTTTATAACTATATTACCACAAGCCTATACTCTGATTGTTAATATATCAAATGTCTCTTATAAAATTAATGTAACCCTTTCCGCATAGCTCAATTCATACATAATTATATATACAAGCGGTGTTATTTTAGAAATGAGTTTTCCTTATTTTTAAAGATAGTTTTGAGCGTTTTTAAAGCTTACTAAGATAGTGATTTGATTGTTATTTGTATTCCTTTGTCTAATCCCTAAATAAGTTGGTTTAATTTCATATTCTCTGTTTTTAAAGTGTTACAAAACGATGTTTAATATGAAAGTAGACAAAGTCTATTAACGTACAAGTCAGATAAAAAACATTTCCTAGATTTTTTAGTAAACATTCTTTGTTTTAAAAGTGTCATTTGGTATTTCATGCACCGCTTCCGTTTTCAATCGGAACACCTCGACAAATATTCTCAAGTCAAAAGTTGCGATAATTCCGTTAACGAAATACCCTGCCGATTATCATTGAGTTACATTAAAAATGGCGGAGCCTACATAGAAATGACACTGAACAACTCACAGATAGCGGTATATAAATCTATATAATTCAATTGTTTTCATTTGATTAAATATAAACGTGTTGTCTATATATAGTCAGGCAAGTCAAACCCGAGCCAGCTGACGTCTATGATTTGTGCAACATTAAAATCAAGATCAAGATCAATAGATCGATTAACTATGAACATGAACTGGATTTCAGAGCCTGATGTGTACAGACAAGTGCCTGATGAAATGAAAACGTAAAAAACAGGAGCTAGAAAAATATGTTTTATATAAACAAGACAAATGTAAAATATTGTTTTTTATTATTATTATTGCCTCGGCAAAGTAAACATAAAATATTTTAGCGTGTAATTGCATGTACTAGTAAAACAATTAAATAATAATTAAAAAATATAAGATAAACGAATGACATAATTACATGTTATGAAGAAATAAAACGTATCAGAATTATAGAAATTATAAAAAGAAATTAATTAAAACAACATTTTCAATAAGAAAATAAAACAATTAGGCCCTATTCATCTTATAATTGCATTATTATATTTTTAACAACAAGACTAATGATTCAATGCAATATTGATAATGTTGATACCATTAATAACTGACACACATTATACATTAAATGAAATAACACTTGTACCTTAATTGGAACAGTTAAAATAAGTCTATGCTACACAAGTGATGAAAAGTGTTTACTCTTCGATGCAACAGTGATATGCCATTTTTTAAATTCTTTTTAATACTGGAGCGGTCTATGAAAACCTTGGTTCTTTTCTAGACAACGCGCTTTCTTAAGCATGAGCATTTCTTATTCCAAGGTAACCGAAGACACTGTCCCCCGTACAGTCCCTGACATAGACTTATCTCATATTCATATGGTCCTACACTTCTCATTATGACGTCATCGCACGTGCCCGTTCTTGCATTTTCCCGACAAGCATTAAACTTGCCAGCGCTTGTGTTGGTTAAAAGCGACATAAGCAACATTACATTCACCGTTATGAATGTCATCCAACCAAGAAGATCCATTCTCTACAGATTCAAAGGTATAACTGTGAAATATTTCCTTCGTATTCTTCTCCGTTTCAATCCTGAAGTAAAAAATGTGTTGATATGATACGAACAGAACAGATATCTACTTGCTTTAATATAAGTTAACATTTTGTAATTGAAACGTGTTGACTTCAAACCACTAGGTCAGACTATAGGGATCTATACTGTTGGTAGTTCAATTCTGTTTTAATGAAAACTGGTCAAATCCATCCAACAAATTCAGCAGTATATCAATTAATTGCTAATTAAATATCTTTTTATTACCAGTGTCTACGTGATTCATCCTTTTATCAAGGGATAGAACCAACACCCCAATGTAAAATCATTACTTCCTCACTGAAAATGAATATTCTTTAGAAGTAGGCATTTGATAATTTTTATCACTTTATTTGTTCAGTTAAGAAACATTACATTCGTTAAAAATAAATAATCTTATTCAAAATAAATCAAAACATTACCTTATTATACTGTTATCTTTTTCTCTAGTTGTCGCTCAAAAGCAAGTTTGTGTTTTGGGTTGTAGTGTTGTAGCCTGCGTATTTATAGGTTGCAGTTGGGGAATTCTAATATAAGTTTAGTTTCATTTTGTTCTATTTATAGAATCATTAAGAACAATTGTAAATTAGGTTTCGATAATCATGGCAGTAAGTACGAGGAATTGTAATTCTTCCGAGCATTGTTAGGATGGACTAATTCATATGAAAGGCATGTCGCATGTCACGTTAACAGGAATTATATAATTTAACTGTCAATTACTTTTACGCAATGTCATTCGAGTATTTAGTTTAAGAATGACGTTCAACATTTAATAAGATAAGTATCTTTAATTGTTGTTATTGTATTTTCTTATCCTGCCGTAACCGAAATTTATTAGTCTTTGCTGTCAGTAAAGCCCTTAGATGGACTGCACAGCACTCAAGTTTGACTGGGTTTTATACCGAATTTGAATTTCTTTAAACTTCGAATCAACTGTACCAAATAAAAGTACGATAAATCCAAAACACAAATTCAGTAAGGATTCAACGAAGCCAACACATCTTTTTCATTTTCCATTTTTCTTTTCTTTATTATTGCAGATTTTAGACTGATCATAACCTTTGAATATTTCAACCATTTTAAACAATGAATTCTATCTACGGATCGTGTTTTCTCAGAGTGTGAATTTCAGTCTATTTTTTCAAATTTTTAACAATTTAAGAAAAAAGAAGTAGGGATGAGAGTATACTGTTTATAAACCGCCCATTGTGTAGGTCCCAGTGATTTTTTAAAACGGTAACTTGGAATGAGGGAACTGTGCGTTTTTTGTTGTTTGTTTTTGTTCTCTAAACAATGTAGAAAACAGTACTGTAGGATACCATTAAACGGTAAAAAACGCAGTTGTTAGAAAACTACATAATCATTCACCAATGACAAGAGGTTAATGAACCTCTTGACACACTAGAAAACCATGGAAAAGTTAATATGTCATTAATTCAAGTGTGTGTTTCGGTATCTATTGCGATGTTTACTACGATTATATCATACCAGTTTGCCATTTGCTTCCCAGGCTCCAACCGAGGGATTATCGGGTACAATGACTTATAGGTTATCAATAGACAATCCCTAAAGAATGCACAAAAGGACAAAATTGAACATGTTGCGGGCTCGGTTAACCCACACATAAGGTCTTGTTTTCAGCGAAAGGTAGTGGTGAAATCCCCGCTTGATGCACACATTCTAACATAGTTTCTACCGGGTTTCTCCTTGTACATTTATTTTCCAGATTTACGCCAACGCCCACTTAATTTTTATTACGACTGTATGACGTTTAAACAATTATTTGGTATTTGGGGGAAAAGCAGAAACACGCAATCAAGTTCTCAGAAATGCCTAACCTATGTAATGAATTGAACTATTGATAGTTTAAAATCTTATTTTTTGGGAATCGATTAGCATGTACATTTATCAACATTTATTGTCTTCTGAATTATAGTTTTTTTTCTGGTGCCGTATACACATGTAGTTGATGATTATTCTATAAATTCTGACAATGTGCATCTAATTGCAAAAATTAAAAAAAAACCTTTGTTTGAAGAAGATTTTAAAAGTAATTAAACGTACATAACTAGTTGTATTAATTTATTGTTTTCTGAATTATAGTTTTTTTTCTGGTGCCGTATACACATGTAGTTTATGATGATTATTCTATAAATTCTGACAATGTGCATCTAATTGCAAAAATTAAAAAAAAAACCTTTGTTTGAAGAAGACTTTTAAAAGTAATTAAACGTACATAACTAGTTGTATTAAATAATGGTTTTATTTGGGAATATACATATTTTGACACAATTGAACATGTCTAAATAGTTATTTTTCGACATATGACCTATACTGTGCCGGAGCAACGTAAAAGCCCAACCAATAAGAGTCATTTTTACATATATTTATTATTGCTTAATTGCACAGAAAACGAATTTTCTATTTGTTTTTATTAGCTTTGGTTTGATAATACGTTTGATTGGCGACGCCGGTGAGCGGCGTCGTCTTATATGGAATGCTTTTTATTTTTGTCTATGGAAGGAGCTGTTATTATTAGCAGTTAATTTCATGTTGTGTTAATTATATTTATTTTGATTCGTAAAAATCAAGTAAACAAATATGTTGTTATATTTGTATTTAATAACTTTATATAAAAAGCATGTGCATTGTGATATAATTTTCACGAAATTGCAGGCTCTGATTAACAGCTTGTCCCTTTGTTTTATTGACAATACTAAAACCCGGATTTCGAATATCGTTGTGGTCTACATTGATGCTCATTCATTTATATATTTTTAAAACTTTCCTACAAGAAGAAAGTTCACCTGCAAATGAGTATTAGGATAGGTAATGGACTGTTGTAAACGATTATCCTATTGATTTTATCCATATTACGTTCATCTGTTGATCAGAATGGTTGTTTTTACAAAGTGTACCAGTATCCGGATGTTGACAGCTATCCGATTTTCTGCAATTACTGCTGTCACATGGCCATCTACTTTTTAATGAATTCTTTACCATTAATTTGCATGGCATAATTAAAATGATCCTGCAACATTTCTTAATTTTGATGTTTAGGGTGTTCTTTTGGGTTTCATGTTTTCTTTATTTCAAGGGGAAGTAACTCATGTTTACTAAATTATTTGTTCTTTTCCGTCTATCTTAGGTATTACTTACAATTTTTGTTTTATGAAATTTACCAGTTGTAAGGTCATCAAAAGCATAGAGGCCCTGATGAGTGAATATTGATATATATATATACTTTTACTGGCTTTATATACCCAATATATTTCATATTTATTTAATAGAAACTTGGAATTATTAATGTTATGTGCATACATTTATATCTTAGTATATTGGTATGATGAGACTTATAATATTTCTGAATTTAAAGAGTTGCAGTTATGTCATTATTATTAAAGGGATGAGACTTTCATTTAAAGTTATAAATGATAATACATGTATTGATTGAAAATGTCCTGAAACTTGGATCAAGCAATATAATTGATAAAGCCTCAAAAAATCATGTTCTGAATAGTTATTCTAATTTTTTTCTAACATGTGCATAGTTTGAAAAGGACAGCTTCTGACTTATCTATTTGTAATGGAGGGACACCGGTCTCAACCTCCAGGTCTCCTGAGTCAACCCGACAACAGACTTTACATTAGATAGTAGATTGTTACTAGTCCTTGAATAAATTTGTACACTAAATTTTATAGTGGGTGATTTGTGCCACATGAAAACCAACAAAGTACAAAAAGTAACCGGGCGCCAGATGAAAACATGAAAATAAAATCTACCACAAAGTGGTTCGTTTGTTGCATTTTCATGTTTTCGCCCGGTGCCCTTGATGTAAAATACAAATCAGCCTTCATAACATTTCTTATCATAGATATTGTACATGTATAAGCACAGTTATATTCACTTTCAAATTGACCTGTTATAAATAATGGCACATTCAATAACTGTCTTAGCCCTTTTTAGTAAAAATAATTATACAATAATAATTATATAAATTGTTATTTTAATTATATAAAGACTATGAGTATGTAAGGTTTTTTTTTCTTATTTATTAATTAAGAATTAATTATCTGTTAATTTAAAAATCTATATATCTGTCACGGTTTAGAACTGTTCACTATTTAGGGGAGAAAATGTGTAAGCGGCCAGATAGCTCAATCGCTACAGCCGCGGTACATTATTCTGTGGGTCACAGGTTTGAGTTCTGGTCAAGCTGAAAGTTTTTCTAATCCTGTTACTGCAAATAACCATTAGTTTAATTTACTATGCTCTGTAAACATCAGAAATTCAAGTACATGAATCAATATAGTGGGGAAAAAGGTTTAGGTTTAGAACTGTTTCATTAATAAATAGAAAATGTGTAGCCGGCCGGATAGCTCAGTTGGTCTTCTGAAAGTCATGGGTTCGAGTCATGGTCAGGCAGTTTTAGTCAGGGTTTAGAAGTGGTTTTTCAACTGACACATGTTTGATTCATTTAATAGATTGCATTTAATTTGAAATGGACAAAGGCAGTATTGCGTGATACTTTTAAATCTACAAAAAGCATTTGGTACAGTTGATCACACTATACTGCACATGAAGAAGTTCTTTTTTCTTCTTCTTCATGGAACTTCAAGCATCTGCCATATGTAATGACATTCTTGCATGGTTCAAGTCTTATCTCTGATAGCAGCTGGTGAATGTGGCTGGTACTCGTTCTCTCTGAATATCTATGGTGTCCCCCTGATGTTCATTTTAGGTCCTCTTTTATGTCTAATATATGTCAATGACATGTCTGCAACCCTAAGCAATAAGCTTTTATTATATGCACAGGCACAAGTATCAGACCTGGGAAGAAAAAATATTACCAGATTGATAAAAAAAACCTGTGTTCATCTTAAAAGTGTCACAAACCAAAAAAAAAATGTAAATGATGACCCCCTTTAAAAATATACTTAAAGTTAATAGTATATTTTTAAAGGGGGTCATTATTTACATATTTTTTTTGGTTTTTGACACTTTTAAGATGAACACAGATTTTTTATTAATCTGGTCATATTTTTTCTTCCCAGGTGTGATACTTGTGCCTGTGATGATGACTCAGGTATCCTTGTATCTGGTAAAGTAAATCTTAAGATTGGTTTATTGACTATAAATTGTCTTTGCATCTTGGCAAGACAGAGTCTATTCTTTTTGGTTTAAGTTTCAACATAAACTGGGCCAAGCCTCCAGGTCACATGAAATGGTACTGCTATAAAGTACACATCTTTTGTTAAGTATTTAGGTGCAAACCTGGATCAAATTCTTTTGGCGTCGCCCTTTGATGCTTTGCATCAATGCTTTTCTTGTAATACATAATAGAATAAGAATACATAGAAATGCATGGTCAGGTTATAGGTGGTTAAGGATAGTAGGGTTTGTGATAAATAAAAATATGTCAAATAACTTTGAAATAAATGAAGTTGATGATGATATTTTATTGATAAGATTAAGTGATAAAAATATCTTACAGACGTACGAATATAAAAATAGAA